ATGTAGAAGTACAGATACATTTGTCTAAAATTGTCTGGCATAATATCATCACTTCACAGTGATGATATTATACTTCTTATCTTAAATTAAAGATGCTTGGTCTAAAGAGCCTGGAAAGAAAAGCGTCTGGACTTCTTTAAGTTGCTTGAAAATGTTTCACCTCTCATCCGAGAAGCTTCTTCAGTTCTAGGGTCAAGCAACTTAAAGAAGTCCAAACGCCTTTCTTTCCGAGCTCCTTAGACTACGATGACCTGGATGACTGACAACCTTCAGAGATATGATGCTTGATTTTCAGTGATCTTCCATATCTCAGTTCAAAGTACAGTAAAAGTTTCTGATGATTTTCTGTCTTACTTATTCTCCTAATCTGTTTGTGCTGTTGATGTCAGCTCACTGAAAAATTTATGCAGCTCTCCAGCCCGAAGAGTGACATGATGGAGAGGACAACTTCTCAAGACGCTGAGTTTGGATCCCCTTGCCTGAAAATGGCTTCTGATTCACAACGGAGCATGGAGTCAACACCAGACTTTTCTTCATCACAGATAACAACAGGTAGAGAAACCAAAAGATGTAACAAATACAAATATAAGACTTTGGCATGTAACGACTTTCATAAACTTTTTATAAATCATTTTAGTGAATACAGCCAGATTGTTTAGTCAGACAACAGACCAATATTTGAAAATCAAACAGTTGAGATAGATTAATCTGAATCTTCATGTGTAGTGTCTTTGGACACACCGGAGATGTGACAAGTACATGACACAAAAATGTGAAATACTTCGCATAAAAGGGTGGTTCAGCATCTTTTAGTAAAACAGTCAATGAAACTTTAGTGGACAGATAGATAGCTGAACATTGGGCAACATAAACAGTCTAACAATGGTCAGGAGAATTTACGTGATGAAAAACCAAAAAAGAAAAACAGGACAACAATTTCAATTTACAAAAGACCATCCATCCATTGAAAGAAGCCAGTTGAGGTGGTTTGGACATATGACTAGGATGCGTCCTTGGCATTTTCTCTGTGAGGTTTTTCAGGCATATCCCATTGGAAGGAGGCCCCGGGGCAGAACCAGGACACGCTGGAGAGATTACATTTTTCAGCCAGGCTTAGAACAACTTGGTGTTTCTCTAAATAAGCTGGAGGTGAGGGCTGGGGCAGCTGCACCCGTGACCCAGCTCTGGACAAGGAGAAGAAAGTGGATGGATGGACAGATGAATTGACATCTTTATCTCAGATTAATTTAGTTAATCTATTTTGTGTTGCTGTCATTCAGAGATTCAAGAACAGCCACCCCAATATGAAAAGCTCTATGCACAAGGCCACACTGGGAGAAAGTGAGTAACAAAATCACATTTATGTGTTCAACTGAATTTTCTTTCTCTTTTCTGCAAAGTCTTCGCCCTTCAACAGATGTCTCTGTTTGAATACAGATATGACTGCTCAAATGAACAGTTTTAATTTTGTTGACTTCATGGAGTGTAGTGTAGTCAACAATGTGTGACAAAAGACAGAATGCTTGCTTTACAAAAATACCTTCTTTTTGTTAGGCAATGAAATTACAAAGACAAAAAAAAAAACATTCTATACAAGAAGACGGGAAAAAATAACAGAATGGTTCAAGTTGTTGTATTTATATTTGGTGTTTAATTTATTAATTAATCAGCTTATGGACTGAGTAATATGCAATTTAAACATCCATGTTAACTAGTAATAATTTAAAAAGTTCAAAAGCCACCTTTCATCTTTAAAACACATGATAAAGTCTAGTAAAAGCAATGTTTATGTAAAATTTAAGTGGCATTTGACCTATACTTACCTTAATCTGTACAGAACCTTTTTTAGCATTTTTTTTATCTGCTCCCTCTTTGCTAAGGTCCTGCAAAGACACTGCAGTATAATAATCACATATTTTATTTTAACAGTCGAATCATAGCAGAGCATTACACAACAACCTGACCGGCTAATGACAGTGGTCACAGCTTCAGGTATTTCCTTCAATTTTTCATCCGTCTGTAGATATATGATTTTGAATAACTCTTTAACTTTAGAATAGAAAACAACCACATATTTAATTTCAGAAAGAATAAAATTTGTAACCCAGGTTTAAAGATTTACTGAGCTCTTTCACTTTTTTCTACAGAAACATCTCATCCAAATACAAGGACATTATATGCAGAAGTATTAAAATTCATCCAAGATCTCCTGCTGTTTACCAGTTCAGACCAAAGAAACAAGAGTTTGGAACTCTAACAAGAATGACTGTTGGTGAAAAAAACCCAAACAAAACAAATAAAACCATTTTACTTGTGGGTGAAACAGGAGCAGGAAAATCTACTCTGATCAATGCTCTGTTCAACTACAGCATGGGAGTGAAGTGGGAGGATGAAGTCTGGTTTCAGATTGTAGAGGAGGAGGAGAATAATCACGCAGGCAGTCAGACATTAGATGTGATCGTGTACGAAATCTTTGGTTTTGAAGATAAAACTCTGCCCTACTCTCTGACCGTCATCGATACTCCTGGATATGGAGACACCAGAGGGACGGAGCATGATGACATTATCTACCAAAGATTATTGGACCTGTTTCAATCAGAGGATGGAGTTCATGAAGTTAATGTAGTGGGTCTGGTGATGAAGGCGACAGATAATAGACCGAGTGACCGATTGATGTACGTCTTTGATGCAATGATGTCTCTGTTTGGAAAAGACGTAGAGAAAAATATCATAACTCTCATCACAAATTCAAATGGAATTGCACCTAAAAATGCTTTTAAAGCTCTTAAAGCTGCAAAATTTAAATGTGCCAGAAATGAGAAGGATCAGCCCATTCACTTCCTGTTTGATAACCAACAGAAGGAAGATAGAACAGAGGAAGATGTGTCTGTCTTTGAGTTCTCTTGGGGAGTAACAGATAAA